GCAGAGGGAGGGTGGTGAGAATGACAGGGAGGGTGTCGTCGAAAGCACCAAGAGTAGCCTACCGTTGGCCTACTTAATGTATTCATGGGTCAAAGTCAAAGGTTCAGCCAATCGTAGCCCGGTTTACGCCCTGCGTGTAGTCGCATAAGTATTGAAAGTAGATTTCTCCTGCAGTGGATTTAGCGCGCACGCCGAAGGATGAGTGTCATGTGAGTGCCAAGGGGTGGATGTCAACAGAGAAGTCCTTACAGGGAATCACGCTTACTCTGCTCACCTCTCTAGTTTCAACAGCACAAGGTCTGCTTCGACAATCAAGGCACCCCGGAAATAGCAGTTCACAAGAGTGTGACAAACATACACAAGAAGTAGAGGGAAAAGGACGATAGTAAGGATTAGGAAACAAAAAGCAGCAGTTCCCTGATGTAGTTCAGGCACAGTTATGAGCATGACATTGGTGAATCAGCCCATTTACAATTATAATGGAATAACCTAACGACACGTCAGTCAGTAGCACCGCCCTGGGGGGGAGGGGGGGGTTCACCACCACCACCACCATCATCATCATCATCATCATCACCATCATCATCATCATCATCATCATCATCATCATCATCATAAACAACAACAACAACAACAATAACAACAACAACAACGACAACAACAACAACAACAACAACAACAACAATAGTAACAACATCACCAACCACAATAATACCGTCACCATCAACAAATTTTTTTTTTAAAGCTAACAAATTTCTTTCCACTTTTTTAAAGCATTAGTTCTAAATTTCTCCAAAATGCCTTCATTTTCCCAGATTTTACAACAAAAGAATTCAGCAGATTCGCTCTCGAAATGTCACCAAAACTCTTCGGCGCCTCTCTCACCCCAACAGCATATTCAGTCTTATACAGACTTTTGCCGACGATTACAGACCCTTGAGGAAAATCTCGGCTCGTACGTATTTTCATAAGCATCTTTGTTTTGTTTGTTTCGGTAAGTGTTTTATGGCGCTCGCAACTGCAAAAGGTCATAATATGAGCACGCGGGACCCATTATGCCTTTTTCAGTTTAGTAGTAATTAAGTTTGAATTTTGAACGGGTGACGGGCAAATCCTACTCTTATCGAGTTTAGGACTACCAGGGGATCTTTAACGTGGGCAACTTGAACACGTCCTTACCTGAAAAAGCTAGGTGTTAGATCCTATATAACCCAAGATTAGGGGTGTGGCTGAAAGCTAGCAGTATGAAAGAGCCGAGGGGTAGCTGTAAAAAGGCTGCAGAAAGAGTCAGGAGCCCAGAGGAGAGTGCGAGATAAGGGGGGGGAGG